TTAGCCTGAGTATGCGTCCATGAAGCTGAGAAGTTCATGGCCTGCTATGGCGTCCACCATCTGATCGATCCTTGGCAGAGGAAAACTGTCCTTGGGGCAAGCCCTGTTTAAATCGGTATAGTCCTGACACATCCTCCAGGCGCCGCTCGATTTTTTGACCAAGACCGAATTGGCCAACCAAATTGGGTAAGTGACTTCCTGGATGAAGCCGATTGTCTTCAGTTTCTGTACCTCGAGCCTCATTGCTTCGTATCGTTCGGCATCATAGGCCCGCCGCTTCTGTCTGATGGGTTTGAAAGTGGGGCAAATGTTGAGCTTATGACTGATGACACTTGGGGCGATGCCAGGCATGTCATTGTATGACCAGGCGAACACTTCTGTATTGGCGCGCAAAAAGGCGATGAAATCGGCTCGTAGTGCCGAACTCAAGGTGGTGCCGATTCGAATTTGTCGGTCGGGCTGTGCTTCGGAGAGGGTGACCGATTTTAGATCTTCAATGGGTTGCGCTTGTGGGGTGACGGCCTCATCTCGGGGATCATCTGGTATGTCCGTTCCTCTGTCGTTCGGTATAGCTATATTGGTAGAAACTGAGTATGCCTCGGGGAGTGTAGCTCTTGCCGATTCCAGTGTTGCCGAAACGTAACATGTCCGTGCACTCAACTGATCCCCTCGCACTTGGCCTACGCCAGAGTGGGTGGGGAACTTGAGGAGGAGCATGTGTGGTGACAACATGGCTTTCATCTTGGTGAGCGCCGTCCTGCCGATGATGGCGTTATATGCTGTTGGGCAATCGACAAACAGAAAGTCGGTATAGATGACCGTTCGTCTGGGAATGGTGCCGACTGCGAACGGAAGCAGGACACTGCTGATCGGTTCGATCACATCACCAGAGAAGCTTAGGAGGGGGGTGATATCTTTGTTCAGATGCTGAGGATCTGTGCCGAGGGCATTAAAAGCGTCGGCGAATAGTACATTGACAGAACTGCCGGTGTCTATGAGGATTCGGCCCACATCGAAATTCGAAATATCAGCTCGTATGATCATGGGATCGGAGTGGGGGAAGATGATGCCTCGTTCTTCCTCTTCAGAGAAGGTAATAGGTTCCCAACCGATTCGCCAGGTCTTGTCGTTGCGTCCTCCCGCGACGCTGAGGATCTAGGGACACTACTACAAAAAGGGCAAAAGACGACCAGTAAACAACGACGGTAGATCAAAAAACCGTCGTTGTTTTTTAAAAGAC